TCCCCCAGTGAGGGGCTGGGGTGTGGCTCAGTGGTGGAGCCCCTGCCTAGAATCCCCCAGTGAGGGGCTGGGGGGTGGCCCAGAGATAGTTTGCTGAGCATGTGTGAGACCTTGAGTTTAATTCTTAAGAAGAGGAGGAAGAGGAAGGAAAAACTGGAAAACCAAGCAGTTGAGGGGGCAGCATATAAAGACGCTTGCTGCCAATCCTGGTGTCCCAAGTGTGAGCCCCAGACCCACCCGTGGAAAGAACCAGCAACCACAAGTTGTCCTCTGACTCCCACAAGCATATTATGCACATGTGCCCCTGCCCTGTCCCTGCCCAATAAGTAAGTTTAAAAAAAATGTACTTAAAAGCATGGAGGAGAAACAGGGCCCTGTGTGCTAATCTCTGAACAATGTGTCCACCCCGTGCCCTCTGAGAGCGTAGTGTGATGGCCACCATTCCACCTCTGACAGGCACCATGGGCAAGCAGGGACAGCTCTGGTATGCCACCGCTTTCTTTCAGGCTTAACCACTGCAAGAAACAGCTATGCCCCAGCATGGCCACTGAGCAGCGTAGCCTTCAGGAAATTCACTCAGCCTGGCTTGCCTCAGACTCTTCATTGGGAAAACGTGTGGGTGACGGTTCGTTTTTAGTTTTATTTTTGGTGTTTTGAGCCCAAGGTCTCTCTCACTATGTAACCCAAGCTGACCTTGCACTCATTACCATCCTCCTGCCTCAGCTTCCCCAGAGCTGGGATGGACATACTCAGCTGGTGATCACAGTCTTTCCTCTTCTGTGTTTGTGTGAGTCTTCCATTAACTAATTATAAGTAAACACACATTATTTTGTAGATGTTCAGTGACTGCAGTGTGCCGGGCGTCACCAGAGACCCCAGAGGTAACTAAATTATAGACAGAGTGGACTGGGGATGTAGCTTGGTTGGTAGAGTGCTTGCCTAGCCTGCAGAAGGCCCTGGGTTCGATACCCAGCACCACATAAAGTGGGCATGATGGCCCACATCTGTAACCCCAGCATTAAGTCGGGAGGTAGAGATAAGAGGATCAGGAGTTCAAGTTCTCCATGACAGATGCAAGACCAGCCTGGGATGTGTGAAGCCCTGCCTAGAAATCGAAGCTTTTTTAGAAGTGCTGTTGAGATGACCAGAACAAAACCAGGCCAGCCAGACTTCGGCCTTCCTAAGCAAGTCTTGAGTTGGATCCCTAGGGGAAAAAAAGTCTGATACAGTGGGTCTGATGCAGTCTGCATCTGTAATCCTATGGCAAGGTGGGAGCCAGAGACAGGAGAATCTCCAGGAAGCTCACGGGCCAGCTAGCCCAGAGTATGTACGCAGAAACAAGACAAACCCTGCCTCAGCAAGGTGGAAGGAGAGAACTGACTCCCCAAAGCTGACCTCTGACCTCCACACGTGCAAACACACACATATGTACATAACACACACACACACGCACGCACGCACGCACGCACGCACGCACGCACGCACGCACGCACACCAGCAAGCCCAGTGACCTCACGTGGCCTGAGCATCTCAACCCCTCTGCCTCCTCTAAGGTGGGAGTGCAGAATGGAGGAGCCAGGCTTGGACAGCAGCCAAGGCGCTGCTGTGGAGGTAAACACACACCCTGTGACTCAGCAAAGCTCTTCCTATTGATTGACCCAAAAGAAATAAAAAAACGTGTGTCCACACACTGTGTACATGTGTCCATGGCAGCCTTGTTCACAGAAGCCAAAAGGCAGAGCCAACCCGGATGCCAGTCCACCGATGAAGGAAAGCGTCAGTCCACACAGGCAGAAGTCATCCGGCCATAAAAAGAGATGAAGCTTTGACACACAACACGGCATGGACAGGGCACCTGATGGGAGGGGAGAAAGGTGTGGGTGGAGGCAGGAGGAAGATCCAGGTCATCTTGAGCTACATGACACCCTGTCTCCAAGCAAAACTACGTAGTAGTGCCTGCTCCAAGTCTATGAAATGCCCAAATGTCCAGAACAGAAAAATCCATTAACAAGGAAAGCCGATTAGCAGGGCCCTAAGGCCGAGGGAGGGAAAAAGGGTAACGGGGTACCGCTTAATGCACGGGGGTATTTTGTGTTTTCGGTAATAGGGATTAAACACAGCCCTACGTGGGCTGAGTAAAAGCTCTACCATTGATAATACCTTCTAATAAGTGAGCTTCATAGAGTCCCCAGCCCCTCACTGGGGATTTCAGGCAGATGCCCTAAACTAAGCTTTATACCCAACCTTTTTTTTTTTTTTTTTAAGATTTATTTATTATGTACGTAGTGTTCTATCTGCAAGTATTCCTGCACACCTGAAGAGGGCACCAGATCTCATTACAGATGGTTGTGAGCCACCATGTGGTTGCTGGGGATTGAACTCAGGACCTCTGGAAGAGCAGCCAGTGCTCCTAACCTCTGAGCCATCTCTCCAGCCCCCAACTCTCTTATATATACCCAGCCCTTTTATTTTCCTTCTTTTTATTCATTTTTATTTTTAGAGACAAGTTTCACTGTATATCCAGGCTGGCCTTCAACTCACTTTGTAGCTCTGGCTGGCCTTGACTTTGGGATCCTTAGCCTCAACCTCTCAAATGCAGATCCTGGGCCTGTACCACCAGGCTTACTAGTTTGTTCTGAGACTGGGTTTTGCTGTGTAGACCATACTGACCTCAAATTCATCATTCTCCTGCCTCAGCTTTCCAGAGTGCTGGGATTCAGAGCCTGACCCACTACATCTGCCTCACAGGATTTCTTTGGGGTGGTGACCGCATGGCCCTGTGGATGTTGGACTTGTAGCCTTCAGAACAGGGAGGCAGTACGTTCCGTGGTCAAAGCCACGTGTTGCTGAGGACTGTTACAGCATTCCAGGGAAACAGGCCTGTGGGAATACTAAGCCTCAGGGAAAGGAGCCGTCATTCTAAGGCCAAATCCGAGACAGATTGCCCAACCAGAAAGTAAGATTCAGCCTTCCTAACCAAGAGAAAGTGGTGTTTGTATGGCATGGCAGGAGGCTGGTACGTGAACACACACATACATTAAAAATAAAATCTTGCTGGGCGGTGGTGGCACACGCCTTTAATCCCTGCACTCGGGAGGCAGAGCCAGGCAAATCTCTGTGAGTTCCAGGCCAGCCTGGGCTACAGAGTGAGTTCCAGGAAAGGCGCAAAACTACACAGAGAAACCCAGTCTTGAAAAACCAAAAAAATAAAAAATAAAATAAAATCTTGCCAGGCGGTGGTGGTGCACGCCTTTAATCCCAGCACTCAGGAGGCAGAGGCAGGTGGATCTCTGCATTTGAGGCCAGTCCGGTCTACAGAATGAGTTCCAGGATAGCCAGGGCTACAGAGAAACCCTGTCTTGAAATAATAATAATACTTTTTAACGATTTATTTTTATTTTCTGTGCCTTGGTGTCTTGCCTGCATGTGTTTCTGTGTAAGGATGTCAGATCCCCTGCAACTGGAGTTACAGACAGTTGTGAGCTGCCATGTAAGTGCTGGGAACTGAATCCGGGTCCTCAGGAAGAGCAGTCAGTGCACTTAACCACTGAGCCATTGCTACACCCCCACCCCAACCCACCACGCCACCCCTGTTCTTGAGGCAGAGGTGCAGTTGAATGCTTGTCTAGGCTCCACTGGTGAAGGGCTGGGGATAAGGCTCACATCTACAATATAGAAGTCTGGGCTCTGTCCTTTAGAACAACAAAAGAGCTGACCTAGCAGAAAGGCCCAGAAGTGCTTTGATATGGCGAAAAGGAATCCAC